GAGGGAGCTGCTCTGAACCGTGGAGTGGTGTGTCACTCCAGTGTCTCCTTGCCGCGGTCCCCATCCTGCAGCAGCCTTGGACATTTCTCCACTGGCACCCGGTGGGTGGGGGGCATGGGGCTGGCCCCAGAAAATTCGAGGGAGGGAGGGAAGCCCAGGTGAGCAGTGCAGGGTACCTCGTTCAGAACCCCGTGGTGACCACCTCGCCTGTCCTTGGTGCCCTGCAGCGGTGCAGCACGAGCGAGGCCCCAGGACGTCGACGATACGGAAGCAGGTGGCTCTCTACTTCCGTGGGCACAAGGAGGAGAGCAGTGGTGCTCCTCACTTCCCTGCTGCAGCTCTGCCAGCACCCGCATTCTTCACTGCCGTCTCCCAGCTGGAGCCCCACGGCCTGGAGCTGGCTGCAGTCACTGGCACCCCGGAGAGACAGGCTCTGGTGGGCTTGGCTCAGCCCACCCCAAAGGTTAGCCACTGCTCCACGGACCTCCAGACCTCGCTGCTGGGGTGTCTGCAGCTTGTCAGCTCCTTCCTGCCTCTGGGGTAGACGCGGCAAAGAGCAAAGCTCGAGGCTTTGTGGGTTGTGGTGGGGAGTTTTGTTACATCCCTGAAAGCAAGGAAGATGTGAAGTGCCAGGGGTCAGAGACCCTCTGCAGAAGGAGTATGCAGCAGGTCTGATTGGTAACCTGCTTCACGCAAATCCTGACTGCATTCTTACACCTTCATGGCTGCAGAAGTCCTTCTCCTGCCTGGAGCACATCCACAAGTCAGTTCTAAGCCTTGTTTCACAAGGAATGCAATCAATGAGTTTCCTTCAGCAAAATGTCCATCTCTATGGTGGTACAGTTCAGGAAGTACGATGTGTACTGAGCAAAGCCAGCAGCTTGTCCACAGGCACAACCCCCAAACTTGGCTAAGCTGTCTCTGCACTTCTTGGTTGTGACATTTCCTAAGCAGCCCAGTGAAAGCATTGCTGTGGCCTCAGCTGCACAGGAATTAGCCATAAGGTGATGTTTTTCATTAAGCCACTGGCAACAGCATTTTGCATGTTCACATCATCTAGAAAATCATAAAAGCTTAAATAGTTCTGTATTTCCAGAGTTGGTGGCCTGGCAGAACTCATCAAGAACATGATCATGGCATAGACTTTTACATGATAATTTTGAAAAATACCGAATCAGAAATTATTTGGCAAGAAGACACAGCACATGCTTGAAAACATATAACTCCATTCCAACCTTACATAGACTTTAGACAGTTATGCTTAGCTCTATGCGTCTCTGTTGCAGTCAGAGAGCAAGATGAAGGTGAAGGCTAAATGAGTACTTGCTGCTTTGCTGGGCAGGGCTGGAATGCTAAATTAGTTTCTGAAGCAAGGTTACAAACCACAAATTTGTAATCAAATTTGTATTCTTCTAACTCTGCTATCAGAGGTGTGCTAGTGTGTAACAGGGTACAGGATGACACTTCATTTTGGTACTTTTTTTCCCTCCCCGTGTAAGAATTTGATTCTCCCTTCAACCTCCTCCTCCGAACTGTTTCTGTAGCACAGCTCATCCGCACGGATAAACAGCAGGGAGCGGTTTGGAGTGAGCCACTGCAAGCAATGCCCTCTGCTTGCAGAACAGGAGAGTGCAGACTCTGTATTGGGCGTGAGCATGATGCACTGAATGGCAGCTGCAGGGGAGAGGAAGCTGAGGCTGCTCTGGTGACACTGTATGAAGTTGCTTTATTTTCTTTTCGCCATTAGTACCCACATGAAGTCAACGGCACCCCAATGTATCTCTATGAAGTGGCCACCGAATCCGTCTGCGAGTCAGCAGCCAGACTTCTGTTCATGAGCATCAAGTGGGCGAAGAGTGTCCCAGCCTTCTCCACCTTGTCCTTACAAGACCAGGTAAAGCACCTGCAGTGGGAGTGGCATTGGCCTGGCCTGCCTGTAAAAGAAGGCTCAGAACTCAAACTGGGTCCTGAACTTCCAGTCCTAGACCGTTAAATTCATAATGGACTTCGGCAGTTCTGAAGTTCAGAGCAGTTTTGGTCTGTCACTGAAAACCAGGCAGTGATTTAGAAACTGTTTCCTCCAATTTTTGTTTCACGAAGCAAGTGAAAATCAAGGCAGGAAAAAAATCTAATATAAAGCAAATATTGCAGGAGGATGAGTTCTAGAGGAAAAGTCACCAGGCTGCAGGTCAAGCTTAGCATGCCGAAACTTGTTTTCTACTTGTGAGACTTTTTCCTCCATAAAATTGGGAACAGTACCTTACTTTGCTGTTTTGGGATGAGAAATACCTAGTTAAGCATACAGCCTCAGGATAAGACTGAGGTGATTTCTGAAAGCCATTCCTCCTCCTTCAGCACCACCTCCTCCTCCTCTCCTCTCCACTATTTACACAGCCAACACTTTTTCCTTATTCACCTTGGCTTCAGTGAACTTACAAATATGGTGGGAGCAGTATTTGGCCAGCCCCCAATATTTTTCACCATTGATAAAAATCTTCCCTAATTTGTTTTGTTTTCCTCTATGACAATTTGCCTTTGCCTCAAGTGAATCATATGTGAAGCATACAAGCTAAAGCAATTTCTTAATGACTCGATTCTTGATGAGGACTTAGTGTGCTTTGTATAATGCACCAATTTTTAGAAAAGTAATCAGATAATTATAAAATGGAAGGGGAGAAATCTACACAAAGCTCCAATCATAAAAGATGTCTAATAACTCGATATGATTGAGCTAATTTACCAAAGTTGTAACTAGAAAAACTGTGCTTTAGATGTTACATAGCAGTCACCAGAGGAACTCGTTCTTTCCATGGATGCACGTTGCAAGTGTTGCAGTTCACATGCAAATACATGTTTTGAACTAAAAGAAAAGAGCTTCTTAGGAAACCAATAGTGTTTTCTACCTAAAGGCAAATCATGATGGTCACAATGAGCTATAAAGCTAAGGCATATAAAAATGTTCCTTTTCTAGCACCAAACCCAAGTTTTGAAATCCATGTGAAATTAGACAAAGGGGATTGCTGTTCAGCTCTGGCTGCAGTCCTGCTATGCACTGAGGATGAGGGGAGATAGGGCCCAGGAGGTCACACATGCTGTTGGGCAGACAGCAGTGCCACATGCTGCTCTCTAACAGTGTCTTCTGCTGCTGCTGCTCCTGTGGAGCACTGGGTCTGTCACACCAAGCAACCAAAGAACCAGGCTCAGATACCAGCTACAAGAAGCTGGTGTGCTGCTCCAGCTGCAGCCTCAGCACACAGGAGGCAGCTTGGCCCCTCACTAGACAGTGATGTGCACAGGAGGCTCCTTAGGCAAAGGCTTTATTTGACATGATAGGAATGCATTCCCCACAATGTCATCTCTGTCAGTGTGTGCAGGAGGGGGCAGCAGGGTTGGGGAGCAAGTCTCTACTGCACATGACCAAGCATGCCTCAAACACTCAGGCCTGCTTATCTACCACAGATACCAGTGTTCCTGTTCAATAACCCACTACATCTTCTACTTTCATATCAGGGACTAACATTAGCAAATTATAGATTAAAACCCCAATCTTTCCTTAACATCACCTTGCCTTGCTGTACCTCATGGCAAGCCACCTCCCTCAAAACTCAGAGCTGCTCAGCTCTAAAGCTTTGACTTGGGTCTGTACAATTCCCCTGTCATATTTAGGAGAACTGAAGAAGAAATAACTTGGATTTTAATCACCTTATTTTGTGAATAATCACACAGTGCTATTGCATTATTTAATTTGACAATGGCCCAGCTGTAAATATCTGCATTTCTCTGTTTGTATCCCTGACATCTGCCTGAGGAGAGTCTAAAACCTTGTCCCAAATTTTGCTATTTTTTTTGGTGCTCTTCTAAAAAGGCAAGCACACTGTGATTTCAGTACTCTGAGATTATTTTATCATGAAGGCAAGGTAAAAAGTAGCAACCAATTTGCCTGAAGATTGTTGTGTCACTTACCCCTGGTAAAACAGGCTGTGTCCCTTCCCCAGATCCACACAGCTAACTCCATCATGAATTGGAAGCCACACAACAAAAATGCCATGCTTCTAGTTCTGCTGTCCTACATACCTGCCCACCTTGCCTGTGAGACAGGTTGGCCCAATGCAGGTCACCAAAAAAAGGTCACACTAAGCATGGGGTTGATTAAGAAGCAAAACCCAGTCCTTCAGAAAGCTCAGTATTTGTTGTTTCTTTGAAGAAGGAGGGCTGAGTATGACTTCAGCATGAATTATTTTAATTGGTGGTTTTACAGACTTATGCATAGGCATGAAGAAAGCTTTAGCTATTGGAATAGTCTCTTATTTCTAAAGTCTTCAGGCTTTAAAGACTTAGTGGGAAAGAATATATGAAATTGATATCTTCCAGGAACCACCATTCATTATCATTGTATCTGCATGAATGAATGACAAAAGTTTTACAAAGGCAAATGAAAGGCTGATGAATCATTTCCTATGTCATACAGAAACCTGCACATCCATCAGGCAGGATTATCCAGAGGAGGGGCTGGGTTCACAGGCTGCAGTGGTTAGGAGACCTAAGTGTAGATCATCTGCTCTCAGAACAGAGCCCAGATAGGCACCACACTCCAGACACAACCTCTCCCTCCCCCAGTTCATACAGTAATCTGGGTATGTTTTTGTACCCTAAAATCCAATGTGAGTGTTTCGAACAGTAAACGTATGCAAACAGTGACAGAAATACCTTCCTGTCACAATTTTGTAAGTCAGGGTATGTAGAAGTTCTGCAAAGCACATAGCACAAAAGGTACAGAATGGACATAGCCCTACAGTGACAAGTGGAGAGCAGAGACCCCAAGAGCTCTTCCTTCCACTCAGATTGTAACAGGGTGGTGTAAAACATAATGACAGAGTCACAGAATGGGTCAGGTTGGAAGGGACCACAGTGGGTCATCTGGTCCAACTTCCCTGTGCAAGCAGCATCATCCTAGAGCACATGGCTCAGGTTTGCATCCAGATGGTTCTTGAATGTCTCCAGTGAGGGAGAATCCACAACCTCTCTGCGCAGCCTGTTCCAGTGTGTGGTCATCTGCACAGTAAAGTTCTTCCTCATATTCAGGTGGAGCTTCCTGTGCATCAGTTTCTGCCCATCACCTCTTGTCCTAATGGAACAGATTGCCCAGAAAGGTCGTGGATTCTCCCTCACTAGAGATATTCAACAACCATTTGGATGCAGCCCTGTGCCATGAGATCTAGAATGGCCCTGCTTGAGCAGGGAGGTTGGACCAAATGACCTACTGTGGTCCCTTCCAACCTGACCCATTCTGTGGTTCTGTGCTTGACAACAAATAATTCTGCCCTGAACACCACATTGTTAGGAGTTAGTATGTAGATGAAGGATTAATTTTTACTGATGCTTTCTGTATCACCTATTACTTTCACATACCTGATTCCAGGGAAATCATCCTTAATTTGGTGCAACATCTTTTTTCACTTTGTTCTTCCTTACATACTCTTTATAGACTTAAAATACCCTCCTTCCTATTTTCCTAAGAAGCTAAGCTGCTGATACTTTCAGGGACTATAGTAACATTAATGCTTGTGGATTTGAGAGGTTTGGGGTTGGTTTTGTTTTGCTGCATAAGTTTTGGGCAATCTGTTTTCACTGCATGGAGATGCCAGAAGATACCTCCCAAGTCCACTACAGTTCTCAACCCTCCAAATCTCTCTCACCTGATTGTGGGACATGAGGTCCCAACAATGTGTATGCACCACAACATGACCTTTACGCCATGAACTTCAGCTGAACTGGGGGTTCTCCAAACTTTCCAAGAGTTAGCCTGGGCTAACCATCCATAGATGCCCTCAAGATTAAACATACCTGTCCTGCCTTTGCCAGCCTGCATTTCCAGAAGTCTTGTCTCCACTTTAAATGCACAACTGCCTCTTCATGGGAATCAAAGGCATTGCCTCCAAACAGAGAAAAACACATCCTGCATATAGCCACACAGTGTGCAAAAATTGCAGAGAACTAGCAATGCTCTCAGCATAGGTGCCTGGATTTTCACAGCTCTGGAAGGAAACAGCTCTTAATGTTTGGAGTTTTTGAGTGATTTTAAGCAAAAAGAAAAAAAAGCAGGAAAACAGGTAACACTGAGAAACTGTATGTGTGTCCAGATGCTGTACTTGACAGAGCTGAAGACTTGCTTAGTAAGGAAGGGATTAAAGACCCACTGCTCTAAAGCAGTCCTCCCTACACTGATGCAGGATGTTGTCCAGGCTTTTCTTCACAAAAGGAGTGTAATGCCTTGGAGAGCAAGAGGAGAGTGCTCATCCAACCTGTCCTAGGATAGACAGCTACATGTGCTGAGGGAGGGGAGGAAGAGGCCATGCCATGTTGAGAAACACAGGCAAGTGTGTTCATGCTGTGAGCAAACTCTCTGGGGAGGGAGTTCTCACTCTCCTTTCTCTTTCTCCTTCCTTTTGGTCTACAACATGATGCACAGTTGAGCCAAACCTCAGTGTTTTTCTGCAGTGCATAGACTTATTTCTAGACACCTTTTCAAAAAGCTAAGAGAAGAAGCTAATGAATACTGTGGGGAAAATACCATGACAGGCATTTAAAGTAGCTTTTAAAATAACAGAAATTTACATATTTAAATTGTTTATAAATCTATAAATTATACACTATGTTATATTGTACATCTATTGTATGACAGCTGATGCTTTTGGAAGATGCTTGGAGAGAACTGTTTGTTCTAGGAATAGCACAATGGGCCATTCCAGTTGATGCTAACACTCTACTGGCTGTATCTGGTAAGAATTGCACAATTTAATGACTTTGTTACAAAAATTACCATAAAAATACATTACTGAAAAAAGAACAACATGTAAAGAATAACAAATTCCTACTGAACAATAGAGCATACCTGTCATTTATAAATCTATATTTAAATGCAAATAATGTTGTTTTGTTGTATTCATGACTGCTTGCATTGTCATTTAAATGCAAATTACTGTGTTTGTTATCATCCAAGAGGAGATTTTATATTAACTTTCATACAATATAGTCAGTTTACATGGAACCAGATAGACAAGTGTGACAATAGAGTGGATATTGATACAGAGGATTTTGTCAGAAATCAATATAAAATAAAGAAAATGCCTTTAATATTGTTTATTTCATCTGTTTCTGTTTCAGGCATGAACGGTGACAATACAGATTCTCAGAAGCTGAATAAAATTATTTCAGAAATACAGGCTTTACAGGAGGTTGTGGCTAGATTTAGACAACTTCGGCTAGATGCTACTGAATTTGCCTGTCTCAAATGCATTGTCACTTTTAAAGCTGGTAAGCAGAAAGAACCTCTTGCTCATCTGGTCTGATAACTGTGAGGTTGCTCCCTTAAACCACAAATGATGTTTTAAACCAGACATAGCTTTGTATCACCCAACAGGTTTCCTGGTATTCAATTCCAATAGTCAGTGCTGCATTTTGAAAGGCTGACAGTGGAGTGCTGGGGAACTAATGGGAACATTTAATCTCCACTGATAGCACTAGCTGAACTGTTTTGACCCACCCAAGAGTCAAGCTGAACTAGTAACTGATCTGCTTTCCAGTGCCCACACACAGTGGTTCTGAACTGAGGAGTTTCCGAAATGCTGCAGCCATAGCAGCCCTTCAAGATGAAGCCCAGCTCACCCTGAACAGCTACATCCACACCAGGTGAGTGGTGTCTTCTCCCAATACTTCTGGTAGGTGTAGGGGTAAAATCCTGCTCTCACCATACTATAGGCAGTGTTGGCACTGGCTGAAATGGGCACTGAGCTGTTAGAGCAAGGATACACCAGCTGTCAGCCTGCTGGGATTTGGCATCTCCTGATGAAATAGAACCATAGAAAATGTTGGAAAAGACCCTTCAAATCATTGAGTTCAACCATTAACACCTCTAAGTCCACCACTAAATCATGTAGCCAGGTGCCACATCTGCACATCTTTTAAGTACCTCCAGAGACAGTGACTCCACCACTTCCCTGGGCAGCCTGTTCCAATGCTTGACAACCCTTCTGGGGAAGAAATTTTTCCTAACATCCAATCTAAACCTCCTCTAGCACAACTTCAGGCTGTTTCCTCTTGTCCTATCACTTGTTATCTGGGAGAAGAGACCAAAACCCACCTCACTGCAACTTCCTTTCAGGTAGAGAGTGGTAAGTTCTCCCCTGAGCCTCCTTTTCTTCAGACTAAACACCCCCAGCTCTCCCAGTTCTTCAGAGGACTTGTGCTCTAGACCCTTCACCAGCTTTGTTGCTATTCTTTGGATGAGCTCCAGCACCTCAATGTATTTAAACAAATGGAAAAGCGCCAAAAGAAGAGATCTTCTCTGGGAAGTGACACCTGCTGTGGAACACTTTGCAGTTCAGAGGGCTACATTTTACTCCACATCTCGTTCCATTAAATACCACTAAAAGTGATGCTAAAAACATCACATCTCAGACCAGCATGAGCCTTTTCACCCATGACCTCCAATTACCATATAATTTCCCCCATTTTGCCGACACAGAAATCAGGACACAAGGAACTTAAATGGCTCTTCCAAGATGCTACTGTGAGTCTGTGCTCAGGTTGAAATGAAAAGCCCAGAAACTGTGAATCCCACTGTGGTGCTGAGAATTATTGTTTGGGAATAAAATATTCCCCCTTGTCTCACTCAGGACAAGTCCCACAGGACACAGAAATTTTCAAACCTGCTGTAAAAGCTGTAGCTGTCATTCCACAAAGTGTACAGGGGTGAACCCAGAAATACACAAAATGTACTATGTAGAGTACAACCTCACACCCTAGAACAGCTGCCTGGGAATAGATCACTAGCCTCCTCCTATGGACCACTTCAGAGCTGTGTGACAGGGAGAAGCCTGAAGATGCTACCTAACATGTTCTGTGATGCTGCCCTGGTTGGTTCAGGACTTCTGTGGAGAGCTGTGACAGGACTTGTAAAGTCCTCATCTAAGTTCTTTAGCTGCAATGAAGGTCCATGAGACTAGCACAGGGGGACATGGAGCAGTGGAAGAGAAATGTTTATAACACCTTTTCCTTCTGGAATTTTGATCTGCTGTCACAATAGCTCTGTCTAGCAGAAGTCAGTATCAGAGATTAGATGGCAGCGGTCTCCGAAGCACTTCTGTTAGCCTAAAGGGAATGGCCTGCCCTGGGGATGGGAGTAAAAGTGCAAATTCTATCCAGTTATGGCTGCTTGAGAGCAAAAAGAATAACCCCTGCATAGTAAACTCTTCCTGTTCTTATGGAAGACTTTCCCCATGAAGATCACTCCCTGGAGACTCAAAGTGAGCCAGGGCCTGTTGGAGAGAAAGAAGCCAAGGAGGAATACATACCCACAGTTTCCATTCCAGGCATGGCACCTTTTCCACTGCATTTCCATGTTGCTGGAAGTATTTAGCTACAGGGCTAAACAGTATCTGCTGTAAAAGATTTCCTTTCACAAAGTAAAAAGTGCAGTCCACTGACAGGACTGTCACTTTGACTCCACTGGGAGAGAGCTTTCAGCTTGCATTTCATCCTCAGGCTTGAATTCTCCTTCCTGCCAGTGTTCCAGAAGCATCAGCCCTTTGATCTCCACAGAGTTACTCTCAAGGGGATACTCTCAAGAAGGGCAGTCTGGAGAAGCAGAGTGTTTCTCCAAACGACCTTCTCCTCCTTTTAGGGAGACCACTGTAAGCAGAAGTTTGAGAAGCACTGGTGGAAAGTCAGCCTAAGCACAGCTAGAATGCACATCCTATGTTGATTTCAGAAGCTGGGAGAAAGGATGGAAAATATCCTATACAGAAACACATTACCTGGGGATAAACACAGGTTCTTAAACATAAATCTTCTTTACAAATGTGAAGTGGTGTTCAATATATATATATGACAACCAAAATGATTACCAAAGTGATTACCAAGACAATCCAGCTAGGTTTAAACTGCACTTTAAATGACAGAGTAGTTACTACAGGCCAAGCTCTTCCCTGAACTGTGTCGAGAACACAGTTGTTGTATAAGGGACAGATCAGAGCAAATCTGGTCTCTATTGCTAATGCTCTAGGGGTATAAACAAAGGATCTAAACAAAATTCAGAGACCTTGTTCTGTATTCTGCTAACTGCCATTAGAGAGTTTTCACTGCAGTTAACCTTCTTGCTAACACGAGTACAAAACACAGGGTTTTAGCACAGGTGCTGGAAGGGGGTTGTAGAGAGGTGGGGGATGTCTCTCCTGCCATGGCTGCAGGGAGAGGACTAGAGGGAATGGCCATAAGATGACACAGGAGAGAGGCAGATTAGATGTTAGGAAAAAGTTTTCCCTGTTCGGGTGTTCAGGCACTGGAATAGATTGCCCAGGGAGGTAGTGGAGTCACCATCCCTGGAAGTGTTTAAGAGGTGTTTGGATCTGATGCTGGAGGATATGGTTTAGGGTTTAGAGCAGCGACATGTTAATGGTTGGACTCAATGATATGATCCTTCTCCTCCAACTTTGATGATTTTATGATTCTGGGTAGCACCATCTCTACAATTTATTGAATTTTGGTCTTTTTCTATAAAGTAAAATACTTTATTTGAAAAAACAATTTAAAACGTCAGTAACATTCTTTCTCTCTCTGTCTCCCAGGTATCCCACACAGCCCTGTCGTTTTGGAAAACTTCTATTGCTTTTACCAGCTTTACGTTCAATTAGTCCATCTACAATAGAAGAAGTGTTTTTCAAAAAGACCATTGGGAATGTACCAATTACAAGACTGCTTTCAGATATGTACAAATCCAGTGACATATAAATTACCTTAAAATAAACAATCAGGATGGACAGTTTGAGAAGAACTTTTATCTATGGAGAATAAGCCTCAACTAACAAAACCTACAGGAAGCATAAGCCTGGGAATGTTTAGCCCTTAAACTCATTGACAAAAAAATACCCCAGTAGATATGATTCTGCTGCTCTGAACAGAGTGATTTAGATCATGGAGAGAATGCTTTGTTCTACAGAAAAAGTGAAAGTGGTTGGAATTTGGCTGCTATTCCTGTTACTACAGGATGGAGGCAATTCAGATGCCAGTCATAGTTAACAAAGACTCTGCTATTCTCTCATTTAACTGGCAGATCTGAGACAAAATGTGAAAGAAGGTACTTTAGTTTGTTCAGTATTTGGAACTGGGTGACCAAACTTGGCTTCTGTTGTAACACAAGATGTGGTGGCCTTCAGAATTGTTTTAAAAGTAGCCTGTATTGGGAAAATGTTTTTAATATGATAGGCAACATTTAAGACCAGGTTACCAAAACATTGCTTCTGCTATAATACATCATGAAGTGGCCTTCAGAACTGATTAAAAAGTAGCTTATGATGGCAGCTCCATTCTTCCTCCAAAACGAACGGGTGATCTTTGACGCGGATGTCACCACAATTTGTTCGGTTAACATCTCAAAGACAGAAGAGCTTTATACACTTCCACCCCGACCTTCCCTCATTCTTCTTCCACATACACAGACACTCACTCACACACACACCTGAAAAGATACAAGTCAAGAAAAGAATTCTAAAACAGCAAAACCAAATACAATGGAGATGACTCTTCAGTGACCTGCTGGCTGTCCCGTTGGCACAGTGCTGAAACCAAAGGCAACGGTGGCCAAACTCTTTGTCGATGAGATGTGCAGAGAAATGAAATGACTATAAAAAACAAATCAATGGAAGGAATTTTATTTCAAAGAAATAAAGGTTGTTGACTGATACAATGCTAACAATTTCCAAAAGTCTCCAATGCCTTTTTAGAAAACTCCAGGTTCTAATTTTGAAGCCTTGTTCGCCTACACCCTCTCACACACAAAAACGTTAAGCTGCTTATTCGATGTATGAAAAATGTAGAAAAAAATTTTAAAGATAGCTGCTGTACTTTTCAAATTTTGATTTGTTATTAGGAACTAGCACTGAGAAAAATCAGCACTTGGACTATCATAGAATGAGTAAAACTTTTCCTGTACAAAGTGGATTAACCGATTTGTGAAGTTAAAAAGTTGTACTCATTGTATTTACAAAGAATAAAAATATATTGAATTTAAGTTACTTTCCACTGTTCTTTTAACACTTGTCCTTATAGTTCTTGATTAGCTTCTTCCACTGTACCCTACTTACCAGGGAACAGAAATATCCTCTACTAAAATCCATCGCCTTAGATGCTACAGAGTCTCCATCAGTGGAGGTTTTAAAACACAGGTTAGACAAACATTAAAACAGTAGCTTAAGTGATTCTGCCTTGTGGGATTGTGGATAGAGCTGCTTTCTGTAATTCAAACATACACTTGCTGCAAGGTTTCCTTCCCAAGGAGGTGACATAGTTTTTTCCAGGACACAACACTAAGTGCATCAGAGGTCTCACCCAGTATGTGCCTTCTGTGTCATGTTATTACAACTTTTAACACCAGAGACTTGTGCAGCTAACAAAGACTGATGAGTACAAAAGCACTGCTTCAATTAAAAATATTGAGGTTTTATTAAGGTGTCCAATTGTGTAATCACACCAAAGAAAGAGGTAAGTGACTCCCAATCAACAGAAGAAATTGGCAACAGGAGAAGGGAAATATATTGTTCCCATGGCAATGAGTGACCCAAGAGCCATGCATGCTAAAACGGCAGGTGGAAAAGTACAGTGTGTATCAATGGCTCATTGGCTTGTGGTGCCAAGGAACACAGGCCACCAGTGAAATCCTAGCCCCATTGACTCCAAGGTCAAAATCTCACATGTTTCAGAGGTCAAAGTTTTCACCCCAGCTCTCTTCCATTTTCAGTCTGCTAGGTCTCACATTCTAGTCTTTCCAAGACAACCAGACCACCACAAGAATAGTCTTTTGATGAGTCTGGTGAGACAGCAGACTGCAGGGCTTCAAAACATCTTCTATACAAACTAGCACAGAGCACTTGAGAATGCATTTACCACAGGGCACAGCACATTTTCAGAAAGAAACCAACAACAATTTGATGAACTCTTCTTCCTGTGCCTGTAAAAACCTTCAACCATTTTCTGCTCTCTACACTAAAAAAGACCTGATAGGGCAAATAAAGTAATTGTGGTTCTCCACTCTGTGACAATTCAGTTTAAGAGCTAAACAAGTTGAACCCAGTGATGATTCATTTCAGTAAGATTCATGCTGCTGTCCCAGAGCAACAATGAACATGGACTGCATCCATGCTGCACTGCACCCTGCAGTGTGCTGCAGCCTCAGTCCCCAGGTCACCCAGGCTAGAGGACAAAACGGTGTACTGGCTTTCTCCCACTTGCAAAGCAGACAGGGCAATGGGAGCACATCCACATCTCATCCTCTTACCTGCAGGTCCTAGCCCAGCTGCAGTGCAGACTCACAAACTGGGAACAATGCCCAGATCCCTGTGGTTTAGGCACAGCTAGTCACAGACTGTGTCTTGCTCCTGCTACTGCGTAGAAGCAGAACCAGTTATACAACACTAGAATTAGAGTCTCTAGTTAGCCTTGAAGGACTAAGGCTAGATAAGATAGCAAAGTCCTGTAATTCTCAAGGCTAACACTCCCAAGTCCTCACTTTGGAAACAGGAATATTTTCACATCAAGCATGCAGCTTTTCTCTCTTCAGCTTCTTTTTTTTTTCCATGGGAAATGATACTGGTTGTGTCATCATCTTTAACTTTGATTTCTGAAAGAAGCTTCTCTCAGAAAAGAGCATTGAGAAAAGAACATCTTACTCTGTACCTAAACCCACTGAATGAAACTTCATATACATTTAACCCTTCTTTCCCCTTTTCAAGAGTAACTCAACCTTTAAATATGATTCAACAAGTGCAGGGAAACGTAGAAATCATTTTCATTATCAAGAACATCTTGGAAGGCTAGATAGCCCATGGCTGCAAGGGGACTCACAGTTTTGGTCTCAAGTTTCGTGAATGGGACAGGCAGAGTACCAGCACAGCCTTAGTTATCAGGCAGAAAGAGCAGTTACTCAAACATCTATCTATTCAGTGTAGCTAATCACTAGTACTACACGTAATCCAGTCAGCCACCATTGCTTTGTCAGTTTAGTCTTTTACATTCAGATTTCCGTGAACGAGGTTAAGGGTCTTAGTTAAAAGAAGCTAATAACTTTCCCAGCAAGTCTGCAGGATGCTCTTGACAGCAGTAAGTATTATAAGAGGAAAAAAGCAGCAGAGCCGAGTCTAAGCCAACATGAACTGTTACCAAATAGCACAAAACTCTACAGCAGATTGTTACTACAGTGTTCTTGGATCTGTTTTCAGGAGCATCTGGATAGGTAACTTCCATGCCACATCTGGAAGACTAAGGAAGCTTCTCTAGCTCACTTCTTTCTCGTGAGAAAGACAGCTTCAGCAATGCTGTCTGTGAACTGCAGTTCAGCTGTCAACTGCCTGCATTGTACCAGTGATCATAAAGCACAATGCTACAGCTTACCCCCCTTAGTGTTCAGGGAAGTGGTCTGTGATCATATCTTACAGCAGACTCCTATGACTTCATGTCCCTAACTGTATTTGCAGAGCAGAGCTACTTAATCTAGGAATGAAATTATAGTATGTTATGCCAACATTCCTTTCTGTACAGGATGGTGTAGCTTTCATTTGCTAGTTGAAGCTAGATTGATGCTTCTCATGCCAAGCAGAAAGGCACTCTTTTCCCAAAGTTATTAAAATCATGTATCTGTTGACTGCCTACCATGAATGGTATTCCAGCTTTGGCTTCACAACACAGGAACAGCCTTCAGTACCTTTATATTTTCTATAACACTTGCAGAGTGAGTGCAGCATCTAAGGGTACTTAGTGCTGGCTGTTAGTAATACAAAACTACGTTGTGGAAGAGCATCAGAGCAAGGCTGTAACAGCAGTTCACTTAGTATAGTCAAGTCCCTGCTTCTGAGAAAGCATGAGGCACCCCACGCTCAAGGTCAAGAGTGACAAAACATTTGAAGTGCATTTTCACTTTTATTTCAAAACTTTAGACAAGTTACTTTAGTATATAAATTTGATTTTTTTCCTCTTACAGAATATAAAGATAATTCCCTCATTACTTCGGTATAAAGTGTTTTACAAGCTTGAAGACAATTGCATAAGTGTTTCTCACACAGGGTATCAGAAATAAAGCAGTCTCTCTACAGACATTCAGACAGGTGACTACCTCAGAAACAGCATAGCAGTTTAGTCAAATACAAGTGAACATGTGACACTACAGTCGTGAAAGTTCAAGTAAGGCCAAGTCAGTAAACATTGTTAAGTCATTGCAAGTAATAGTGGAAAGGTTTGTGAGACATTGCAAGGGGTGGATGGTCTCATAGTATAATACTCTTAAATCAAGGACTCAGAGGGATTTAGCTAGAAGACAAGTGAGTTCTTTAATGCTATAAAGCATATGCAAAGACCAAGCAGTGTACTGGTGTTAGTGGAGACTTCGTGCCTGTTTATCCTCAGCATGCTAAGACAAACTACAACCTCTTAAAACCAAGCATAAGAACCACTAATGTTTGAGAAGATGGTTTTAGAATTCAAGTATGTCTTATTTTGGATGGTGTGTAGTTTTTGTCTATTACTTCATCTTGTAAGAACATGTGAAGACAGCGCTCGTTCTGTGCCAGTGGGTGGCCTGCAACCCTGGAGAGGAAAAAAACAAGCATTAGTGTGATCCTATCAAGCCTCCTTGCAGCTAGCCAGCAGAGCAAGGTTTTGTACCAATAACCTGTGGGTCTGCACTCAGGCGTAGATCCTGCTTCCAGTTCACTGTTGGCACCTGGAACGATGTCCAGCAGCAAGATTTGCCCTGCTCCCTGAGATGTATAGTGCATAGGAACCCTGAGCTAACTCTGACCATTTGGAAGCATGTGATATCACCATCTGTCACCTGCAATTAGAGGGACTACCTAAGTGTCCATCCCAGCATTAGGAAATCTAGAGCTAAGCAAGGCAAGTGGATTATTCTTCACAGGTCTTGACAGAGGACACCCTTCTAAAGGCTGTTTATCCCCTCAGTTCTCAGTCTCACCGAGCAGCCGGTGGCCTGGGCAGACCTGAAGACTCACTCCACCAGGGGGTGCAAAGGTCTTCCACAGGCTCAGAGCAGCGAGTGACTCTCCATGGTCACTGCTCCGTGCCTGTAGGAGCAGCACTGCACACAGCCAGAGGGTACTGCCCGTTGTTGACTGCACGTGTCTTTAGCTATGAAACACAGGAGGTCAGAGCTTTCCTGCTCTAGGAGAGACCACAGCATCGCTACTGTAGATTTAGTTTTGTTCCACATGTAAACTGACCCACCATCCTTTGAACAGTCAAGGAGCTGAAATTGAATTAGGAGACACTTCCAAACTAGTTAGAAACTCACAAGGTATTGCATTCAAACCCTTAAAATACCACATGGACTCCTGTGTAGGTAAAAATCCAAGAGAATCTGATACCTAGAAGTTGATGACCTATGAACATGAAAACTTAAAGCAGTTTGGTTTGAAAAGCTACATCCACTTTGGTCCATCAAGACAGACTTCTTCCTTTAGGAGGGGAAGTCTCCCATTCTCCCTAGAGCAGATTGTGTCAGCCTTATGGATTCCAAATCTGTCAGAACTTTTGTACTCTTAATGGAAGCTATATAGTCGAACACACGTAATACATAGTCAGCTTCAGTGGCCCAGCACTAGTACTTCTTCCAAGCACTGCTGTTCATCTTCTCCAGATGTATCTTTTAGTGGTTATTTCACCACAGGACACACTCACTTGTCACTACTCACTTGCCATTGAGGGTGACCAATAACAAGGAAGCTAAACTCTCCTATTCAGTATTGATAGATTATTTCAAGTGCAGTTATAAAAGCTATCAGTCTTGTGAGGCTCTAGTAAACAGGCAGCAGTCTCAAGCACTAGCTCACGAGGATGATGGTCTAGAATAACTAGTTTGAATTTCTTACCCCCATCAGATTGAAGTTGTTGGCCTTGAACTTCAAGGGAAAGATACACAGGAGAAGATGATGAGGCAGCAGCATATTCCTTCTCCCTTTCAGGAAGGCTTGCAAATTGGTGGCTGAATTGCAAGACTAG